GCAACGAGAGGTCTTCCGTCCGTTTTATGAAAAGAAATTCACGTAAAATCGAGCTGAAAAGAGATTCAAAATTTTTGTCACAAGGAGAATTGAACCCATGTCGCCAATGTGAATGCGCTTTTTTTTTTTTACTTTTTTATCCCCAACGCGCTAACCATTAAGATATAGGGAGTACTACTCTAAACATACTTGTGTATACTTTTGCAACAGTTCACCTGTCTAAGAATTATAAAAAGCATTCATAATTTTGCGCCAAACACCACGAGTAAATATTTTACGCCTTTTCTTTGGACTGATCTATTAAATAGGGATGATAGCTTCAATTAAATTTTAAAAATAAAACATTCTTAGCGCCTTTATTTTATTTCGACGTTAAGAAAGTATATGTAACACATTATACACATTACATATCGTATCTAGCCTAGTTACACTAAAGCAGTGAAACGGAAATTAAGTTTTAAGATTGACACTCAATTGCAACTTACTACTGTAACGTGTCGGACCTGAGCGGTCAGTAGGTCCGTGCTCGGATTACCGAGTTTTACTGGGGATATGATTGAATGCAATATATACAGATAATAATATGACACCTGCCTGGTGTCTTTAAATCAAATGACCTAAGTGCTTTGTACAATTATATATCTTCAGTTAATACCGGCACCTGCCTGGTGCCATATGACAATTGCCTCACTATACAACTGACTATATAAGTCAACAGCCACCTGCCTGGTGCCTCTTGATTTAGCCTTTAACACCTGCCTGGTGTCTTACTGCTTACCAAGTTGCCTATATAACTATAGCCAAGTAGCTAAAATATACTTACACAGTATTAAACTTTGTAAGAGCTTCTCTGTCCTAATGACAAACCTATAGCTAACGTCACACAGCTATATTTTAACTAGTCACTGACTACGGCAATTTTGCACAATTCGATTTGATCGATACACTAATTGGTTTCTGAACCAAAGTCAAGACACCAGCCAATTGGCCGTACTGCCCCCTTGTACCTCAACTAAATCAATGATCATAAGTTATCAGATATCATATTGATAAAATACAACAGAATGCCTTTAATTTGGCAACACTATTATTATTTTCTAACAGAACATCATTTATCAATAATACTTGTATACTTCTTTTGTCAATTGACCAATTAATTACAATATTTACATCGATTATCTATTATAATATAAACAAGTAACGGGAGGTAACTCCTCCAACCATTTCACAAGTACGTGAGAGTCGAAGTAGTTTTTTACATTTCATGTATCCTTATGTCAGAATGGTTTAATCAAACGCTCAGCTGCCTCCATAAACCCCTACTCGCGAAATGGCGGAGTTGACAGAGACAGCCGCCATCTTGGTCCCGCTTCGGATTTTCAAAAATTAATATCTAGAGTTCTGATTAACCAATATCCAAACAACTTTTATAGTAAGCATCAATCAAAAGGTCTCTATTAGCATTCCAAAAATAAATAAAAAATATTGAAAAACAAAAAAGTTAGAAAATACGCTTTTTTCCATTCGCATCTCCTAACGATAGGAAGTATTGACGACGAACGAAAGGTCGCGTCCTGGATAGCATATATCACGATCTTTAATCCCTGAAAGTTTCACATTTATATCTTCTACCGTTCTTGAGATTAACGGTAGACAAAATGTCATTTTAAATTCAGAAAATGTCCCGTAACTTGGCACCAGAAGCGAATTTTCAAAAAATCTCTCGGAAAAAATAACTTCAGATAATAACACATAATTTCTGTAAATTTCATGAAAATCCACCCAGTAGTCTTCGAGAAATCGCGTGCACAAAATTTGGTGTACGGAATAATAATAATAATAATAATAATAAGAAACAATAGAATCACTATAAGGTCTTCCGTGAAGACGGAAGACCTTAAAAATCTGGGTCAGGAAATGAAATTCATGTGGCAGCATCCTCATGTAGTGTAGATTCAAGTTTGTTCAAATCATGACCCCCACCCTCCCCCATCCCAAGTTAGGTTGGAGCCAAAAAGGGGTTTCAAATTTTAACATATGAATACATTTGAAAATCCTCAAAGGTCTTCTCAAGAAAAATTAAAGTGGGTGGGTCAGTATAAGCATCCTCTGGTAGTGAGGATTCAAGATTATTCAAATCATTATCCCTGGAGCAAGGATGGGGCCATTATGGGTGATAAAATTCGGATTACATAGAAATACAAGGGGATATCAAAAAGTTCGTGGACTGGGGCTGTAAAATTAGTACTATGTATTCTGTGCTTTCAAAATTTATATGGAACATAAAACAACAAAAAATAAAGAAATGTTGAAAATTTTAGCTTTATACGTTCATTATTTGCCAAATTATTATAAAATAAAAACGACATTATATTATCACCCGGCGCTGTCGTCGTTTATTTTCATGACGTCCGACAACGTCATTGTTTATTTCAATGTCCTCTTCTTCTACCCCATGCGCTTTTTTGGATGAGATTCCCTGGGGTTGAGTAAGGACTTAAACCCGCCTTGTTTATATGACTCTACAATGTCATGAACAGCGGCTTTCAATAAATATAATATTCCAAATGGATTTATACACTGGGGGAGATCCTCGCTTGATTGTGCCAGTATACTTTGCTTTTGAGAGTTCAATATCTACAACACATGATCAACGTCATTTTTTTCACACCTTGACTACAAATCGACATTATCTGTGTATCCCTTTTCTCTCTGAATATATTTTGAGATTTAAAGACAAGTATTCTGGGTGCATATTATTTCTCTGTAGCCAGTTTAAACATTTCTTAGGTCTATACCATTTTTTCAGGGTCAAAACTTAATAGAATGTTGGAAAAAGAAACCCCTACCCTCTTTTCACGTCATTTTCAAGGCCTCATTTATTTGGACATTCCATGTAAAATTTACGATAAAATTTCATAGAACTTACGAAATGAAGTGAAAATTTCATATTTTATGGGAAAATTGTGTCCCGACACATACCTGAATTAACGGGATTTTTGGATGTCAAATGTTCTTATCAAAAGAGTTTTTTCTCAGTTACGCATAGGTCGCAAAAACGTCGTGTTCGAGGTTGCGCCGCCTGGACATACCATTGCTTACCAAAACATTACTAATTTATTAAAAAGTAAAATTTATGATTTAGGGTTTATTCTTTAGATAGAAAAAATGATGCTAACTAAATATTTTAAATTCATTGATGTGCCTAAAGCGGTTTTAATTTTATAGCGCTAGTCCACGAACTTTTTGATAACCCCTCGTAATCTTTAAAATATTCCCTTTGAGAACAGCTAAGTTGTGATTTGTTATAGTTATATGAAAGCATCCTCGGATAATCTAGATTTAAGTTAATGTTCAAATCATGACTCCCGGGGGTAGAGTGGGGCATCAGAGTTTTTACTTAGAAATACATATGGAAAACTGTTTAAATTCTTCACAATGCTGGGGATCCGTTTTCGTTTTGAACGAGCTTTATTGTGGAAAGAAAGGTATAAATGAATGGTTTTCATGTTTTTTAAGATATTCCTCGCTTTTTAAATACTTAGTTCAATGATAATTTTATATATAATTAGTTTTTTAAATTGTATTTTTTAAAATCTTTTCTGTAATACATATACAGACGATAAAAAATATATTTAAATCCAGATTTTGATTACGGTTTTCTATGTAAAGCAGAGAATGTGGAAGAATGCAAAAAATAAATAAATAAATAAATAAATAATGAATAAAAAAAATAAACACATATTTTCACATCTTTTGATATAACTCATTTTTTCTTTTCTTTTTCAAATTCCTTTGTGTTTAATTTTTTTCTAAAGAGCTTTATTTAACCGGTCGTCGGGGGCTGCTCACTCATCAATCGCACCTGATCCATCATTTTCTGTTTTGGATGTCCGCGTTTGCTCTTCCCCCGTTGTGTATTACATAATGGAGATTTGAGCCTGGATATCATTTGTTATCTTCATATATTTCATTCAACAATAAGATGGATAAAACTAAATAAAAAGATAAAATTATAGAGATTGTAGACACTAAACTTGAAAAACAGAATACATCATGGAAGATCAGTTAGTAGAGGGCTGGCAACATAATGGGAAGGATGTGTGACTTTTCTGATCAAAAGCGATAGAAATACGTTTTAATTATTTCTTTGCTAAGCTTCTGCACCTAAAAACTAGAAGTACTGTGAGCAATGAGCTGACTAAATGATATTTCCGTCTCCCATATGAATATAAGGGCCATTTTTTTGTTTCGGGAAACCCAAAATGTATGCCTGATAAAAAAGTAAAAATATCAACTGCACAAGTTTAATATGTTATAAAAAGTCTCGCCAGATTTCTTTCAGTGGTATTTGGAGAAATTGCAGAGAGGATATGGGTACCCAAAAGCGTATCAGATGGAGGACGAAAAGACGCCCCGATTACTTTATACTGTATACAGGGTTATTTTCGCCCCTTGTTATTTTCGCCCTTTTGAACTTGTGAACAATTTTGCCCAGTTTTAAATGCGCCCAGTCATAGTTCTGTTTAAGAAAGTATGAGGTATAATTTGAATTCACCCCGTTTTAAATTCGCCCAATCAAGGAGAGGGCGAAATGGGCGAAAATAAAACGGGGGCGAAAATTTCCCTGTACATGTGTATACAGTACCCTCACACTTTTCAAGCGGGGGAGATAATAATGAAAATTGCAGACCCTTCAGATGAGACCTCAAAAAACCAAGGCCCCTTGTCGTGGCAAGCAATGGCATGATTAGCAATCCTTACTGTTTTAAAATGGCCTGAGTGCAAAGTAAATGTCTTAGTTTGAAGCCTTTCAGCAGTATATGGTGACCTCTCTTTTTGAGTGAAAATTTCTCAAAAGGAGAGTAATGCAACTTAAAATCGATAAATCAATATCAATATTGTTTATTCCAAGTAAAAAGTAAAACAAAGTAAAGAGGGTAACATGAGATTTTATTATGAATATGAATTGAAATGAACAAATTTTGGTACGCTTATATAACATTCAATATAAAGAGTTACAAAGAAAACAGTAAGCAATGATTCTTAGCCTAGAATATCTGAAAAACATTAACAAATCTTTAAGGCATAAAACTATGGGAAATTGTTAGATAGTAAATGTTAGAAAGTCTAGTTACATGTATAAAATGGTAAATGTACAATGAAATATTATACATAATGCAAATGTTAAAAATTATTCATTAACTTGAAAATTTGATATATTTGAAGGACTACAAAAGTATCATATAAATCATTTGAATATAATCTATATTGTTCAAACGTTCTTTTTCTTTTATAACGTCATGGCAGACAAGGGGATGGCATGAGAATGACGTCGTCGATTGCAATGTCATTCCTGTACGTTTTTCCTCTAATTGCCCCAATAATAATCTAAATATAGAAAAAAATACAATGTAATTCTATCAACAAAACGTCTGGCTCAAGTTTACTTCAATCTTAAGTTCACTTCAAACATTCCGCGCAATCAGTAATATATACATGCACATCATAGAGAATTTTTTAAGATAAAAAGATATTTACAAGGGTTGATCCAAAAGCAATTTCTCAGTGTCCATACCTGTTATATTTTGCGTCATATTAACAAATACAAAATACAAAAAGATGCACAGATATGATTCTAATTAACATTAAAAATCCAATTTTATTAAGATCATTTGATAATTATTTTAAAGATCTTTAAATCAAAGAGCATAGATGGTGTCACCGCATCACAACGGATCTTCAGGTTTTAAAGTGTATATTTTCATAAAATGAAAAAGACAAACATATATTCAAAGGTACCTGTGGACAGAACCCCCTCCCGTAATTTAACCCCTGGGCTTACGCAGCACTGTTAAGGCTTGTTATGAGATATCGACGGAAAATAGAAGTGCAAAAACGGAAATTGTTTTTAAACCTGATTTTTTTTTTATTCAGCTGTTCTTTTATCACAGACTTAAATACTTCTGGAAATATCATTGTATAACCTATTTTTTACTGTGTGAAGTTTTGTCCCATCGATGGACAGTCAAGTCATAAATGCATAATATATGTACTGTATTTAGGTCATTAGCACATTTCAATATCCTAAGTGCATACCTTATTTGAAATTAAAAATTCAATCTTTACAATATTCCTGTGTGTCAGGTAAATTCATCATAAAAATAGAACAATTAATTATATTTCTTCTAATATAATATTGTTTCATTTAATTGTAGTTTATTCAACAGAAGATTAATCTCAATCGCTCTCATTTTATTCCATTTAAGGATATTAATGACACTTCTTAATTGACTATCTACAGCTTAACTATTTCTAAAGTTTTGTTAGTTTATTTAAGGAATGACTCTAATTGTTGGCCATATTATCGAGTATAATCTTGTTTGGGTCAGTTTACGCATTATAATCCGCGAAGCAGATTATAAAAAAAGCGTCAACTGACCCAAACCAGATTATACTCGATAATTTGGCCAACAATTTGAGTCATTCCTTATAATTCAATTTCAAAATAATCTTTTGATCTAAAAGTGTGTTCTTTTTATGAGTTCAAATTTATCGATCAATAATACATGTACAACCGTAGTAATTTAAGTGATGTGAAAAGAGGGGAGGTAATAAATGATACATAGATCTAGCATCCACGATGTGTGTTTACGTGAGGTAAGATCGAATAGTGTTTGAATTTAAAGATAAGGTTTTTTAATCTTGAATTTTCCATGGACTCCGAGGACTGGAAATGAAGAGGTTGCATGGATAAGATTATTAAGCTGGTCGTCAAGGGAGTGAATCCCCATACCAAACCAGATTATACAAAATATTTTGCGTTCCTTTTTGGAAATCAAGCAATGAGACGCGAGAATATAAACAAAATTAAATTAAACTTGTTTTAATGAAACGAAGGGGAAACTCTTAAAAGTATGAAGATGCCTATATGTCACACGACTTTGTATTTAGGTGCGGCGACTACCATAAACGCTCATTTTTTAAAGGTCCTCCACACGCACACAACTTATGTTCTCATGTTACTGAGCATTACTTTGAACATGCATATTAACCTTTAAAACCTGGCCAGGAATAACAATATAATTTATACAGATTTTTTTTTAAAAATAATAATATCACATGTTTCAAGATATTTTTCACAAGGCGCTTTCATACCTACATGTATCACACCAAATTATGTCTTAACATATCATATATTTTTAAGATCACAGAATAAACATAAAAACTTAATTTTTATCAATTGATAAATTTTTTAGAGAAATTTTAGAGAAATTAAATTCACTCATAAAAAATAAATAAAACTATTTTTTTCTGAAATGCATATAGAGAGAAAAATCAAGGAAGACTCCTTTTGTACAGTAAAGACATGAATGAATTAGATACATAAAAAAATTGAGTTAAATTAAATGCACTGATGTAGAAAAATACTTTCAAATCTTTAGTATCAATGTTCCTTTAAATTTTTGCAGTTATTTTTCCTATTGCCTAGGACTCAAAAAAATTTTGGCAAGTCTCCGCATACGTATGGCTATAACTACTCATTATTGGCTTCTGAACTGGCTAGATATTAAATAGGAAAACTAGATACGCACACTTTTTTAACAATATTAATAAACACACAGTGAGATTATATGGTATTGAAACGCACAGATTGATGCATAAAAATATTAACTTTCAACACAAACAGACTCTGTTAACAATGGGTTTATTACTCTGAAAGTATAAATTCAATACAAAAATACTGACATCCGTTAATTACAAATAATAATGCAGCATAAACCCAGGCGTTTGTTGTTCTTTTATGGGAAGAAAACGGACATCTTTTTCTATCGTTAACTCCGTGACCATGCAAAATGTTAATTGCTTTTGATTAGGGTGTCGCTCTCAGTGTAGTACATACGATTCCCTTACAAAACTTTTATCTCTAAAGCGTTTGAAAGACTCCTTACGGCGGTCCCTCGGCAAATCGTTAGTGGACAAACTACATAAAACCGGAAGTAAAAATATTTTTTCTCTGCATACGTCAGAAGTCACATGGTGTTGAGGACCCTTAACATCCAATATTTTGTAAAGTATACATCATATTCCGTAGAATTATTCAGGTCTGAATTAAAATAAATAAAGCTTCTTCTATAATGTATAATTTTTTTTTGTTTTCTTGTCGACTTAAAGCAAATTTATTAAAGTTGTGTCATTAATTTTGGATTAACCCTCGTACCATATCTTTTTTTCAACAGTTTAACTTTTTTGGATAGTATTGAATTTTGTTTGAATTAAACAAGGTTTTTAATACAAATAATATATTTAACTTTTCAAAGCCTTTTCAGTCAAAATGTGCTTTTCAATGGTTGACTATCTATATTCTTAGCTTTTGATCCAGTTTAATTCGAAATATAAGAAAACAACATGATTTCAGACACAATAATACCAAATCATGTTACAAAACAAAGGAATAAAAAGAGAATGGCAGTATATATATATATATATATATGATACATGTACCTGACCCTTCTCATAAAGAAATAGTAAGTTAAAAAAATCTCAATTAATTGTGATCATGGTTTTACCTCTTGTACATGTATTTCATTAAATATTGCATTAAATAAATAAACTTCACATTAGTTAAAGATTGGTTAGGTTTTCTACATAAATTGCTTTGAACTAAAGAAAGGGATATTAATTAAATATGCCTTTTCATGAAAAATTAAAAATTTTCTCCATTGAAAATACTTGAAGAGTGTGTTTTACCCAAGTGGCTTCATTTAGAGGCAGATTAACGTCAACATTATGCCATTTTTCCCCTTGATTTCCAGAGACGGAAAAGTATGTCTTATATCCCTCGGCATCACTGGTGGTCTGGATTTCAAATGACCCCATACCGATTCCATACATGTGATAGGCCAGGCTTAGGCAATATGTCTTGTCTGCAAAGATAATTGTCGTATTGTGTACATGGTTATTTTTGCGACCGTATTATTTTCGATCATTTTCACATTCAAACAATTTGCCCCCCCCCTCCGTTTTAACTTCGTCCAATCACTCTTGCACTTAGGAAATTATACTGATTATGGCAAAAGGGCGAAAATAAACAAGGATGAATTTTCCTTGTATACAGTAAGTATTATATTTTTTTCACAAAAGTTGTTTTCAATCATGAGATTGATATCATATTTGCATATACTCCATAGAATAAGTTGATACTGAAAAATTGCAAATGTGGGTAGTGGATGAGAAACGTTTATTTCTATCACAACTTATATAAGTTATATTAAAATTATCAAAGATAAGAAATTCAGTTAAAATAAAATAAGTAGGTCATGCATAATAACAACTAAAGAGAAAATTCAATACTTTTACTTTCAACTGATGAATTATTATTATCAATTGCAAAATCATTTTTGTGTACCTGACCAACATGCTAATAATCTATGATATATGAATAGACTCTTTACAAATTGTATATGTTTAAATAATTTTTATGTTTATCAGTATCGTTTTAAAATATCATATATATTTAGGATTCACTGAATTTAAAAGTTTTTAATTTTTTTTTATTTTAATGTTGGCCTCCTTTTTTTGATTTTTGAAAGGGGATGGGGGAAGAGGGTAGGAAGATATCATTTATGTGAGGTAGAAATTAAATGAAAGAATGTGTGATAATTATTTTTATAACTGCTAGCTTGTTTTATCTTGTGATTCAAGTTTTGTTTTGTTTATCCATGTTTTTTTTTCATTTGATTTTTTTATTGGTCGTACAAAATAAGTTGATTATGCCTTTAAAAATAACAAATGGCAAAATTTGACCAAAAAATGGATCTTGTACTGGAAAATTTTAAGCATCACAAGTGATAAAAAACATTTAAGCAGTTAAAATTAAATGTGTGCTGAACTCATCAATTTCGACACTGACTTTCAATCAACAGTTTTCCAATCACATTATTGATATTAATATAAATTCCATTAAGCAGTTTGTCAATCATAAGTGAGAATCAATGTCAGTGAAATTATTTTGGTGTCTTTACGTATGTTTATTTGTTCATCGAAAAAAATGTATGTTTATTGAATCTATTGAATCGATCGCACACGCACGAGGGGTGAGACCGTTCAGCAAGGGATGCTCACTCCTCCATAACACCTGATCCCACCTCTGATGTTTCGGAGATCCGGGAGATCCGTGTTTGCTCTGCTCCCATTTTTTATTGTTTTATGGACTTTGAGATTGAATACTGTTCGTTATCTCCGTATCCTTATGAAAGCAATTTGTAATATGAAAATAAGAAGTATTCCATATAACGCTTACTCTCAAATGCAATACGGTCATCATAGATGTAATAAAATTCCCCCTCTATACGATTGGATGCTTCGAAATAAAAATAGTAATATCCGTCATATGCATATGATGGTCCTGTCCAACGTGATGGAGTTTTTCCCTGAAATAATAATGATGTCAACTTCGCACAATAATGATAATAAAACAAATGAGGCTCAATTCAATAATTAGAAAATTCATTTTATTTCGTTACAGAACATTTAAAATCATAATAAATGAATGATATATATATATTTCATTGTGCACTCAAACTTCATCCCAAAAAAGCTTTATTGAAAATCTTTTATTCCAATATACAAGGGTAAAATTAGACAAAGTAATGTTGATTCAAACACATTTTTACCATTTTCCTAAACCAATTTTCATTATCAGTTTTCAAAAAGCAAGCTGGGTCTTCATCAACTTCAAAACGACAGGAACGACCTAATGTTGAAAATAAAAATACCCACATAAATTTTTCCAAAACTACTGTAAATAACTATTTTTATTTGCGAGAATTTTATTTTTGGCTTAATTTTTAACTTAATGCAAATCTCGTGCGCATCTGTCTCTGTGTGACTGTCTGACGCTATTAAGGCCAAATATGCATGTAAATCTCGTGCGGCTGCCTTTGTGTTTGACGTCAGTGTGCTAGGACTATTGGAATTGGCACGGAAGTCCTCGTGTAATTTAAATCTAATAGTCTATAATTTTAATGAAATGGAAATATAAGAAATCACTGTCTAGTTTTGAGAGTATGCCAGGGACATCAACAATAGTGGGATAAAACACGGGCTTCGCCCGTTATGCAAATTATCCCATGTTTTCCACTATTGATGATGCCCTGGCATACTCTCAAAACTAAACAGTGATTCCTTTAATATTTTCATCCACTAAATTTTGTCCTTCATTTCTTATAAAGACCATTGCCATTAATCCGTGCATTAACAACAATAAGCCAGGCACGTTACAGATATCTTGATCATGGATGTTCCATCAGTTAAACATGCTGACATATTCATCAATATTACAATACTTAACACAGATAATTTTACTTTTAATTTCTTTTTAAACAAATGAAAATATAAACAATTATATGGAGATAACGAACAGTATTCAAACTCAAAGTTCATAAACAAAACAAAATAAGAGCAGAGCAAACACGGACCCCCGAAACAACAGAGGTGGGATCAGGTGCCATGGAGGAGTGAGCATCCTCTGAGGACCGGTCACACCTGCCGTGTGCTCCTTGTCATGATCAGGAAATAACGGGAAAAAATCCGTCGTCAATCCAGTGTCTAAATATAAACAATAAAATGTTTTTCTTTGCTTCTTAGTTCGGGAATTAAGGGCTCAGCTTTTGCAGAAAAAAAAATCACATGACATGCATGCGTTTTTTTCTGCAATAGCTGAGACAATAAATCAAGTACTAACAACAAAAGAAAGACATTTTTGTTATTTCAATATTTCATACTAAAGTAATGGGTTAGATACATTTCACCTTCGCACTTTTCTCCAAGAAAACCCTTTATGCAGCTGCAATTATACCCTCGTATATTGTTCTTGTCTGCTACACATGATCCGCCATTTTGACACCCATTGTTGAAACACACATCGACTAAATATAGTAACAAACAAGTAATTCAAAAGCATTGTCAATACAGCAAAGCTTGTTTGATTCTGATGCTGTGTATATGTAATATGAAATTTTGTAAATTAAGTAATTATCAACTTAATTTAATTTTTTTTTAAATAAACATTTTTATTATGTAACCATTTTTAAATATAAACAACTGCTGTTAGTAGTTTCAGTAGTCCGATTAATATACTTTTCTTTAATATTTGTTTTATGTTTTCCATCATTTATACCTTTAACATGAACGGTTTCTATAAAGAATATGCTTACTTTCACACACTTCTCCCGTATACCTTTCGGGACATGTACACTTGAATTCAGTTCCGGTTCCTGTGTATGAATTCGATTCTTGGCAGGTTCCCCCATTTTTGCACGGATTAGGATTACATTTAGAACCTGCATTTTTAAACAAAAGGTAGTTTCTATCAAGGAATAGATACAATCATGTAGTTTGTTTACAACGATTAAGTACAATTGTTCTAAAGTAAAGAAAAATACCCTATTGAAAATATCGAAAAATAAAAGCTTGTACAACGACGGCTGTGACTGATAAATTCTATTTTTCCATTAATTAATTGCTCAAATTACATTTGCTTTGCTGCAAGACGAATACTAGTATTTTATTTTATAAGGATATACTTTATTTCTTCGCAAGATTTCATGAAATTCGCATAGCCGTTGACCAGGAAAAAAATACAGCATCTGTAATGTTGGCCTCTCAGCGGATATGCATAATTCTCATTGAAAAATCAAGAACAACGACATGGTTCCACTGCACGGACTCATTTTATAACATTACTTTATTTGCAGAACCTAGATAGGATCGTGGCACTTCTCAGAGAAAAGTAATGCATGTTGCAAATATTTATAAACTATAGATGAAGGTAAGGTTTTATAAGCATTTTTGTACCCTAAAAATTCAATGTATTCTCAAAAAGTAAATACATATTGGCTTTAACATTAGTTAAGTAGATAAATATGATCTATTATTAAAGAATATGGCATGAATGACGACCATTCTTGAAATAAGACATCATAATTTTAGTACATTTCTAAGTTTATTGCAAAAAAGTATCGGAATGACTTTTATGTGCTTTTTTCGGTGGCAGAGTATGCTTTCCGAAAGATGATTCAATTGAAAATTGATGTCTTCCACAAATTTTGTAGAAAATATGGGAAATACACAAGTTAATGGCGTCAAAACTAGCATTAAGGGTGGTCATATTAGAAAAACGATTCTTTTTTATATCCTTATATTCCTATGATTTACAAAGACTGACTTTCAATTAATTATTTTGCTTTCATATTTTATAATTTGTATTGAAACTGTACCTTGTTTTCAGAGTTTTTTTTTTAAATTACTCATGTTCTTTTACTAGTCAAATTATAGGTTAAATAAATGCAATTAAATGGGCTAAAATCACGTGCCTGCCGCATCAGGTGACAAATCTAATTATTGACTTTAATCGTCCTCAAAAAATTGCCATCCAGATTATAAATGCATCTTTTATCACAGAAAATTGTCAATATTTCTATTGAACACTCAACTGTACTGCGTAAAAACTTTACAAATTTTACGATATGATGTCACATAGACAAGTGTATTGCGATAAAAAAAATCATTCATATCTTGCTGTTTTGGATTAAACTAGACAACCTTGTATGTAAGAGTAAGTTTTGATATAGTCTATATCAAGCAGTTTAAAATTGTAAATGATTTTATTGTGCGGTAATTCGTCGAGTTAGTAATTGTGTGTGACGTCAGGGTAAACATTTCCCTATAATTTGGACCCCACCTCTCTTTTTGCAGCCTTAGGTATACTGCGCATACATTCAATTGCAAATGGAGTACAGCAGTGCAAGTTGTACTATATTTGAAAAAAATATATAGTTTTAAATTCAACACTTACATAATCCTGGACAAAGGAATATATTGTCCATTCCAAGAATTGGAGATCCAAAAACGCCCTCTATTGTTATCTAGTAAATATATTTATTATAAAATTTATGTGAATAAAATTATCTGTGTTTTACAGAAAAAAATGATCATGCTTTTAAGATATTAATGTATAAATTATTAACTAAAAAATAGACATGGCATCCGAATTTTAAAAAATCTAATACAGAGGATGTATTTCCAATGAAGGAGTTTAGTTATATTCAAGCGGTAGTTTTTAAGTTAAATATTGTGTATGTAATGCCTTAAATGTCTTCGTTGGTAAATGTATCGTTTCAATGAAACTACACATTAATAACTCTTTAAAAATATATTCATATTTTATTTATATAAAAAATACTATACCACAAGATCTTCCATGGATTTAATAGATACTTTTGCATTCAGCCATTCATAATTTGACGTTGTTTTGATATTGTATATTTTGTGCATTTTCTTCCCGTTGCCGTCTACATAAACGTTTATCTCAGCTGGTGTTCCGTCCGAGGAAAATTCACCAATGGCATAGTCGAAAGATAGGCATCGGTTATTGGCTAAAAAAAAAAATCTCAAAATTTGGTAAATTTCATTCACTATTCATCAAGTAAAGAGCAAAATCGGTTCTTTATTTAAAAGGAGGGGAATAAGAGTTGCTACGTTCAGTATGTAAATTTCATCGTTGCTTCAACGTTGAAACCTCACCGACTTTTTCTTAAAAACAACTTTGAATATTAAACTTAAATTTAAACGTTGAATGTTTTGTGTTAAAAGGTCAAAAAATGCTGAAGCTGTATAATATTTTCAGCGTTGGATGTTCAATGAAAGCCAAAACTTTAAAGCCCTAAAAACGTACTCATTTAAAAGTTCTGGAAAGTTGGGAATTAACTATAAAAAAAACCCAGAGTAAATATTTCAATATTTCATCAAGTTTCACAGACAAATTGAATTTAAGTATAAAGAGCATCGTTTATTTTCCCTGAAATGCCTGTTGAGACAAAGAATAAAAAATATATAGATTTTCATATATTTCTACACGAAAATAGGAAGGATTGTTTTTTTATCTAAACAGAAAAATTATACATCCTTTGCCATATTAAAAAAAATTCAAAACTAATTGTTCTTAAACATTTTCATTCATAACAATTACTTTGCAAGCACATGTTTATATACTCATTAAATAACCTTCAAACTTGGCAGTTGTTTTGATTATGGCTTTTGATTCGGTGGTGTATGAGACATCGTCGTAGTATGGTGTCATAGTTAGGAACTGGTAACCAGTGTCGTGTGTTAAACATGGTCCGTCATTACCGTAATTGTCCCCACAAAGTCTCTGTACAAAATTACCAAAAATTTATAAGATTACCAGGTCATCTTTTCAATAAGTTAGCTAGCGCTGTTTCCACTCAGGAGAAAGACTTACGTTTCCTCCCATTTCCATTAGAAGAAAGCTACCCATTTTTAAAGACGCTCCCAACGTATTGTTTCATTGTACAAGACATTACATAACGATCTTTTACTTGTAAACTAATAAAACATGTACAAAACGCAGTTATGATAAGAATGTCCTTCTATACATATTATATACATTCTATTCTGAGTTATATTTTAATTTTAATATGTAACCCTCGTTTGAAATAGCAGACAACTTGAGATAATAATTTAATCAGGTTTTATTTTAGTGCATTTATGTGATGTCACATGACTGTGTTGACACTTGACGGACATTTATGATATTCCTAATTGTTGGACAAAAATCGCTTTGGAACATGGTCAAAACAAACAAATTGTGCAAACTTTGTTACATAGATCAATTCATCGTGATCTCTAGTGCATAAAAAGTGCTGAAGGCAGGTTTAAAGTTTGCTCATTTAGAAAATGGATCGCGATTTATTCAAAAATGGTTGAACTACACACAATCCCCAAGCAATATTCAGTTAGAGGAGATACTTCTCTTGTAGATTCACACAGAATATCTTCAATTTGTCCTTGTTTATCTCTAGTGTCAATATTAACAAGAAACATAAATTCAAAATCTGTCTTCGGACATGTAAGGGGAGCATTTCACACATTAACTTTTGCTTTTGTTTGAATATGTGCATATCGGACAAGCAAGAGCAATAAGGATATTTAAATTTCAAATGTTCTACATCATAACGGCACGATCAATCTTAAAAACAATCCTAACACTTGAATCAAATAACAATTCCCAAAATAAATCTACATATCATGTAAAAATTTTCTCACTTTCCCTGTCATGTCAGCTCAAGTATGCAGTGACTTGACGTCATATTCTATGATGACGTCATATCTAGGTAGTTCAGAGAAGTAACTACAGTTTGAGCAGTTTGACATTTTACAGGCAGCCTTATCCTAGCTGCGAATAAAAGTATAAAAAAAAATCAATGCCATAACTCTTTAATACTTATTGATAGTTGTCCTTATATTCAATTTTGGTGATTATAAATACATTTATTTTCACTAAAATCTATCATTTCCCTAATTATGCGATTGCAAAAATGAATTTTCAAACATGCATCTCTCGTTGAATTTTCACAAAATATTTTTTTTCATTTTCTTTGAATAAATGTCGGCGACTTTTCCAATGCATTTGTATATATTTTAATGAAATAATGATTGTTTTGACGACTTTTCAATGCAATTACATGCATTTTACTAAATGATATTCAACTTTTTTTTTTCAAACTTTACATGGTTTTATTTTAACTTTTTAACTTTCTTCATTTGATTTTAGATCTTTTTTAAATACATTTATTTTAATCCCTGATATTAAATATACCTTGAGGATATCCGATCCTCAGTCAGGAAAGATAACTCCAAAAATTAACAGTTACTTTGAAGTGCATTAAAATGAAGCTTGAAAACGAATTTTTTTTCATCCAACAATTTCATTTTATTCATCCTGATAAGATTTAGATTTTGGAAATCTTGGAAAAGATCTTATAGAAGTTGACATTTGTACCGTATGAAGAAAAAAAATTACAGATTAGAGATTAAATAAGATTTTCTTGAATCCAGCCTTAGATAAATAAGCTTATTAGCATGATAATAAATTAGAATTGATTTGTGGTGTTTGGCAATGATGGCAAAAGCCTTTTACACTATGCATTATAGAATACTTGACGGAAATAGAGAACAAAAATACCAAATAAGTTGAAAATGCATGACAATTTCACTGAATGCCTGGATACCTATCGTTTTGTAACGTAATATATATTTGTTGATCAATTTGCGATAAGATTGATTGATTAATTGATTGATTGATTGTATATTGTTTAACGTCCCTCTCGAGAATTTTTCACTCATATGGAGACGTCACCGTATGCCGGTGAAGGGCTTCAAATTTTGACTTTTACTCGGCACTCAGGGCCATTGAGCAGTGAGGGATCTTTATCTTGCCAGCGCTTGCCGCTGACACGGGGCCTCGGTTTTTAAGGTCTAATCCGAAAGTGCCGAGCGCATGGCGAAGGAACAGTTGCTACCCATTTTAACGACTAGGTCAGTCGCGCCCGAGATACAAACTCACGACCTCCCGATCACGAAGCGAGCGCTCTACCGACTGAGCTACCGTGAACGGTAATTTGAGATTAGAAAACACATTGCTGATATTCAAAATTGCCTTTACTGCATTTTTGACAATTCCCCCTATAGAATATGATTAATTTCAATCATTAACTTTAAAGAAATACTTTAAGTAAATTTACATAACGTTGTGTGTGCTTTTATGAGTATTTTTAATAACTTAACTGCTATTTTTGTAAACCTGAGTATCGTACTATCTTAATCTTGATTCAATTTCATCATAAATTGCTAAGAATTAATTTACAATTTTCTTGAATACTTGATTAAGCATTGCTGCCAAGTACACATTCAATCAGATTTACCGAATTAAAGCTCCATAGAATATCGCCTGAGTCATCTTGGTTAAATAAACAGCTCCCAAAGTCATCTTCAAAATTGCATGAATTCAGTGATAGGGCTGTAAAGAAACAGATCAAATTTATGTACTATTCATTGTAGCCATTATACATTTTACACCGAACTTTGAAGATTTACATTTCAAATTTTAAGGTACATGCATGTATGTTACTCATCAGCTTTTTATAATAGTTCTTACTTTAATGATATTTATCAAGAGGAGTGTCAGATCGGAGATAGGAACTCCAAAATGTAACATCCGGACAGAAAGACAGATGAACAGATATCCAGACGCAAGATATCCGGATGCTTCAGTATCCGGACGATTTTTCATCGGATCAAAATTTTAAAATGTTATTCTGTCTTGTTTAACTGGTGATTCAGATATCCGGATGCTTCACATATCCGGACAAATTGACTGGGAACCAAAGCGTCCGGATAAATGAGGGTCCACTGTATATCATCCCACCTTTCAAGCGGGATGTATTATGATATATATATACATTTGTAGTATCTTTCCATAATATAAACATACAGAGAGAAAATATCTTCAATTCTGGATGAAGTTTGTCTGAAGTCAAATGTCAATACATGGCGGAATCACACGGTGGAATTACATCTACCGTAAATATAAAATGACTTGCTCTAGGGGCTTGCTTTTCATGTATAGAAAATGAACAAAATAAGCAAGTAATTTTTTTTAATTACAACGTAAACACGTACTTCATATATTTTCTGTCGATTAAATTAACCTGTGTATATAGTATGTATAAAGAAAGCATACAGATAGAAACTTACCTTTGTTTACAAGTTTTTATCACTTTTGTCAGCCTTATGTTACATGTACACAGTCACTTACATTTATCCTTATTTTTTGGTACACCTCAAGTTAAATCTTCATGATGTTTGCTTAAACCATATTTTTTCATTAAATTCTACTCACGATAAATGAATAAATCTGTTAGAAAATATTAAAGCAGATGAATAACGCCGCGAACAGCTGACAACCTCTAATGGCGCTGTAATACACTTTCAATGCAAGTTGTCACCAGTGTCTCCGTGTTAACATAATACATATGCCTTAAGATACTGAAATCATCATAGAATAAATATTTTTTTTTATCAGATTTTATATTTGATTGCAATTTCACTTACTCGGTACAGTGTCTCAATCCATCGAATCCATCCATTCCTTTCAGGTGACCGAATTTCTTCCAACTTTTTATATAAATCTTGAACTTCGGACGTGTTTCTTGTGTCTTTTTAGCACTAATTATCCGCTTTCACAAACAAAAATATTCCCAGACAACAATATGTTCACTATTACTGATCACAAGTAACCTTTTATAATATACCCTTCGAAATAGAATCCTTAGCCTGATGAATTCGATGCGTTATCGCCTTTCAAGCCGATTTACACCTTGCAAACTTTTCACAGAAATGTACGGCCACCGGTTATTGCAATATTTATATCTGAATATTTTTAATTTAATGTTAAATTGTCAATCTCAAATGTT